TGATATTCTTCTTGGATAACTTCTTGTGGCATTCTTCTTACATCTCCTTTTCTGATATTCTTCTTGGATAACTTCTTGTGGCATTCTTCTTACATCTCTTCTTCTGATATTCTTCTTGGATAACTTCTTGTGGCATTCTTCTTACATCTCCTCTTCTGATATTCTTCTTGGATAACTTCTTGTAGCATTCCTTTTCTGATATTCTTCTTGGATAACTTCTTGTGGCATTCTTCTTACATCTCCTTTTCTGATATTCTTCTTGGATAACTTCTTGTTCTTCTTGGATATTCTTCTTACATCTCCTTTTCTGATATTCTTCTTGGATAACTTCTTGTAGCATTTTCTTACATCTCTTCTTCTGATATTCTTCTTGGATAATTCTTCTTCTCTCCTTTTGGCATTCTCTTCTTGGATATCTTCCCATTCTTCTGATATTCTTCTTGGATAACTTCTTGTGGCATTCTTCTTACATCTCCTCTTTCTGATATTCTTCTTGGATAACTTCTTATGGCATTCTTCTTACATCTTTTCTGATATTCTTCTTGGATAACTTCTTGTGGCTTTCTTCATTCTTTTTTCTGATATTCTTCTTCTTCTTGTGGCATTCTTCTTACATTCTTCTTGGATAACTTCTTGTGGCATTCTTCTTACATCTCCTTTTCTGATATTCTTCTTGGATAACTTTTTGTGGCATTCTTCTTACTTCTTGGATAACTTCTTGTGGCCTTCTTCTTTATCTCTTCTTCTGATATTCTTCTTGGATAACTTCTTGTTGATTCTTCTTACATCTCCTTTTCTGATATCTTCTTGGATAACTTTGTAGCATTCTTTTATATCTTCTTCTTAAATTCTTCTTGGATTTCTTGTGGCATTCTTCTTATATCATTCTTCTCTTTCTGATATTCTTCTTGGATAACTTCTTGTGGCATTCTTCTTACATCTCTTTCTTCTGATATTCTTCTTGGATAACTTCTTGTTCTTCTTACATCTCCTTTTCTGATATTCTTCTTGGATAACTTTTTGGCATTCTTCATATCTCATCTCTTCTTCTGATATTCTTCTTGGATTCTTCTTCTCTTCTGGCATTCTTCTTGGATCTTTTCTTACATTCTTCTTATCTCCTTTTTCTGATATTCTTCTTGGATAATCTCTTCTTCTTGGCATTCTTCTTATAAATTCTTTCTATTCTTCCATCTTTCTTCTAATATTCTTCTTGGATAACTTCTTGTGGCATTCTTCTTACATCTCCTTTTCTGATATTCTTCTTGGATAACTTCTTGTGGCATTCTTCTTTATATCTCCTTTTCTTCTTTGGATAATTTCTTCATTCTTCTTAGATAATATCTTCTTGTGGCATTCTTCTTACATCTCTTTTTCTGATATTCTTCTTGGATAAATTCTTGTAGCATTCTTCTTTCTGTCTCCTCTTCTGATATTTCTTCTTGGATAACTTCTTGTGGCATTCTTCTTACATCTCCTCTTCTGATATTCTTCTTGGATAACTTCTTGTGGCATTCTTCTTACATCTCCTTTTCTGATATTCTTCTTGGATAACTTCTTGTGGCATTCTTCTTATCTCTCCTTTTCTGATATTCTTCTTGGATAACTTCTTCTGGCATTTTCTTACATCCTCTTCTTCTGATATTCTTCTTGGATAACTTCTTGTGGCATTCTTCTTTACATCTTCTTCTGTTCTTCTTGGATAACTTCTTGATTCTTCTTCTTGGATTCTTCTTGGATAACTTCTTGTGGCATTCTTCTTCTTCTGATATTCTTCTTGGATAACTCTTCTTCTTTTCTTCTTATCTCCTTTCTCATATTTCTTCTTGGATAACTTCTTGTGCTATTCTTCTTACATCTCCTTTTCTTTTTCTGATATTCTTCTTGGATAACTTCTTGTATTTTCTTATCTCCTCTTCTGATATCCTTCTTGGATAATTCTTGTGGCATTCTTCTTACATCTCCTTTTCTGATATTCTTCTTGGATAACTTCTTCTTGGCATTCTTCTTACATCTCCTTTTTCTGATATTCTTCTTGGATAACTTCTTGTTCTTCTTACATCTTCTTCTGATATTCTTCTTGGATAACTTCTTGTAGCATTCTTCTTACATCTCCTTTCTGATATTCTTCTTGATATTCTTCTTGGATAAACTTCTTGTGGCATTCTTCTTACATCTCCTTTTTCTGATATTCTTCTTGGATAACTTCTTGTGGCATTCTTTCTATTCTTCTTGGATAACATCTCCTTTTCTGATATTCTTCTTGATAACTATTCTTGGATAATTTCTTGTATTCTTCTTATCTCTTCTTCTTGATAACTTCTTAGCATTCTTCTTCATCTCTTTTTCTTATATCCTTCTTGGATAAATTCTTGTTAATTCTTCTTCTTTCTTCTTGGATAACTTCTCCTTCTGATATTCTTCTTGGATAACTTCTTGTGGCTTCTTCTTACATCTCTTCTTCTGATATTCTTCTTGGATAACTTCTTGGCATTCTTCTTACATCTCCTTTCTGATATTCTTCTTGGATATTAACTTCTTGTGGCATTCTTCTTACATCTCCTTTTCTGATATTCTTCTTGGATAACTTCTTTGTGGCATTCTTTCTCCATATCTTCTTCTGATATTCTTCTTGGATAACTTCTTGTGGCATTTTTCTTACATCTCCTTTTTCTGATATTCTTCTTGGATAACTTCTTGTGGCATTCTTCTTACATCTTCTTCTTTTCTTCTTTGATATTCTTCTTGGATAACTTCTTGTGGCATTCTTCTTACATCTCCTTTTCTGATATTCTTCTTGGATAACTTCTTATGGCATTCTTCTTCCATCTCCTTTTCTGATATTCTTCTTGGATAACTTCTTGCATTCTTCTTATTATCTCCTTTTCTTATATTCTTCTTGGATAACTTCTTGGCATTCTTCTTACATCTCTTTTCTGATATTCTTCTTGGATAACTTCTTGTAGCATTCTTCTTACATATCTTCTTCTATATTCTTCTTGGATAACTTCTTGTGGCATTCTTCTTAAATCTCCTTTTCTGATATTCTTCTTGGATAACTTCCAGGCATTCTTCTTACATCTCCTTTTTCAGATATTCTTCTTGGATATAACTTTTTTGTGGCATTCTTCTTCTTAATCTCCCTTTTCTGATGTTCTTCTTGGATAACTTCTTGTGGCATTCTTCTTATATCTATTCTTCTTGGATAACTTTTGTGGCATTCTTCTTATCTCCTTTTCTGATATTCTTCTTGGATAACTTCTTGTGGCATTCTTCTTACATATCTTCTTCTGGTATTCTTCTTGGATAACTTCTTGTAGCATTCTTCTTGTCTCTTTTCTTATATCCTTCTTGGATAACTTCTTGCTATTTCTTCTTACATCTTCTTCTGATATTCTTCTTGGATAACTTCTTGTGGCATTCTTCTTACATCTCCTTTTCTGATGTTCTTCTTGGATAACATCTCTTGTTCTGGCATTTCTTACATCTCTCTCTCCTTTCTGATATTCTTCTAACTTCTTGTAGCATTCTTCTTACATCTCCTTTTCTGATATTCTTCTTGGATTAATTCTTGCATTCTTCTTACATTCTTCCGATATTCTTCTTGGTTAAACCTTGTGCATTCTTTTACATCTTTCTTATATTCTTCTTTGATAACTTCTTTGTATTCTTCTTCTTGGATAACTCATTCTTCTTATCTTTCTGATATTCTTCTTGGATAACTTCTTGTGGCATTCTTCTTACATATCTTCTTCTGTGTATTCTTCTTTGATAACTAACTTCTTCTTACATCCTTTTCTGATATTCTTCTTGGATAACTTCTTGTCTGATCTTCTTCTTCTGATATTCTTCTTTGATAACTTCTTGTGGCATTCTTCTTACATCTCCTTTTCTTATATCCTTCGGATAACTTCTTGCATTCTTCTTACATCTCCTTTCTTCTCTTGTTCTTGGATAACTTCTTGTGGCATTCTTCTTACATCTCTTTTTGATATCAACCCCATTTCTTGATAACTTGTGGCATTCTTACATCTTTTCTGATATTCTTCTTGGACTTCTTGTGGCATTCTTCACATCTCCTTTCTGGTATTCTTGCTTGGATAACTTCTTGTAGCATTCTTCTTCTTACATCTCCTTCTCTGGTATTCTTCTTGGATAACTTCTTGTGGCATTCTTCTTACATCTCCTTTTCTGATATTCTTCTTGGATAACTTGTGACATTCTTCTTCATCTCCTTTTCTTATATTCTTCTTGGATAACTTCTTGTAGCATTTTTTTACATCTCTTCTTCTGATATTCTTCTTGGATAACTTCTTGTAATTCTTCCATATTTTCCTCCTTGGATATCTCCTTTTCTTCTTATATTCTTCTTGGATAACTTTTGTGGTCTTACCAAATTCCTTTTCTGATACATCTCGCTTTTCTGATATTCTTCTTGGATAACTTCTTGTGGCATTCTTCTTACATCTCCTTTTCATATTCTTCTTGGATAACTTCTTGGCATTCTTCTTACATCTCTTTTTTCTGATATTCTTTTCTCATATCTTGTAGCATTTTATTCTTCTTGGATATTCTTTCTTGGATAACTTCTTGTGGCATTCTTCATCTCCCCTCCTTTGATATTCTTCTTGGATAACGTCTTTTTAGCATTCTTCTTACATATCCTCTTCTGTATTCTTCTTGGATAACTTCTTTGTGGCATTCTTCTTACATCTCCTTTTCTGATATTCTTCTTGGATAAACTAACATGGCATTCTTCTTACATATCTAATTCTGATATTCTCTTGGTTAACTTGTGGTTGTCTTTCTTCTTTACATATCTTTCTGATATTCTTTCTTGGATAACTTGTATATGGCATTCTTCTTACATCTCTTTTTCGATATTCTTCTTGGATAACTTCTTGTTCTTCTTACATCTCCTTTTCTGATATTCTTCTTGGATAACAACTTCTTCTTCTGGCATTCTTCTTGGATCTCCTTCTCCTTATATTCTTCTGGATATGTTCTTCTTGGATATATTCTTCTTCAAGAAATCCTTCTTGGATAACTTCTTGGCATTCTTCTTCTTACATATCTTTCTTGTATATCTTCATGGATAACTTCTAGTCTTCTTTCTCATTCTTCTGATATTCTTCTTGGATAACTTCATGGCATTCTTCTTACATCTCCTTTTCTGATATTCTTCTGATAACTTTTGTGGCATTCTTCTCTCACATCTCCTTTTATTCTTGTGATAATTCTTGTGGCGTTCTTTCTTATATCTTCTTCTATCCTTCTTCTTGGATGTAACTTCTTGTGTCATTCTTTTTCTCTCATATTCCTTCTTGGATAACTTCTTGCAACATTCTTCTTGTATCTTCTTAATTATTCTTCTTGGACTTTCTTACATCATTCTTCTGGTATTCTTCTTGATAACGTCTTGGTATTCTTCTTGGATAACTATTCTTCTTACATCTCCTTCTTTCTGATATTCTTGGATAACTTCTTGTGTTCTTTTTTTCCTCTTCTTTAACTTCTTGATATTCTTCTTGATATTCTTGGTTAACTTCTTGTGGCATTCTTCATATATATCTTCTTGGTATTCTTCTTGATACATCTCTCCTTTTCTAGTCTTCTTCTTGGATAACTTCTTTCGGCATTCTTCTTACATCTCCTTTTCTGATATTCTTCTTCCTTGGATCTTCTAAATTTTCTTTTTAACTTCTTGGCATTCTTTTGTCTCATACATCCTTCTTGGATAAATTTTGTGCATTCTTCTTACATCTCCTTTTCTGATATTCTTCTTGGATAACTTCTTGTTGCATTCTTCTTCTTACATCTCCTTCTTACATCTTCTTCTGATATTCTTCTTGGATAACTTCTAACGGCATTCTTCATATCTCCTTTTCTGGTATTCTTTAACTTCTGATAATCTCTTCTTCTGGTATTCTTCCTTGGATAACTTCTTGTATTCTTCCTCTTTCTTCTGATATTTCTTCTTGGATAACTTCTTGTGGCATTCATGCATATCTCCTTTTTCTTATATCCTTCTGGATAACTTCTTGTAGCTTCTCATTTTTCTTCTAGCATCTTCTTTGGGATAATTTCTTGTGGCATTCTTGTTACATCTCCTTTTCTGATATTCTTCTTTGTAGGCATTCTTTCTTACATCTCCTTTTTCTTGATATTCTTCTTTCTCTTCTTCTGATATTCTTCTTGGATATTCTTTCTTACATCTCCTTTTCTGATATCCTTCTTGGATAACTTCTTGTAGCTTCTTATTCCCCTTTTCTTCTTGGATAACATTCTTCTTTCTTCTGATATTCTTCTTGATAACTTCTTGTGGCATTCTTCTTATATCTCTAACTTTTCTGATGTTCTTCTTGACAACTTCTTTGTGGCATTCTTCTTTCATCTCACATCTCCTTTTCTTATATCCTTCTTGGATAACCCTTTTCTGATGTTCTTGCTTAGGATTCTTTACATCTCTTTTTCTGATATTCTTCTTGATAACTTCTGTGCATTCTTCTTACATCTCCTTTTCTGATATTCTTCTTGGATAACTTCTTGTAGCATTCTTCTTACATCTCTTTTTCTGATATTCTTCTTGGATAACTTCTTGTGGCATTCTTACATCTCCTTTCTGATATTCTTCTTGGATAACTTCTTGTGGCATTCTTCTTACATCTCCTTTTCTGATCTTCTTCTTGGATAACTTCTTGGCATTCTTCTTTACATCTCCTTTTCTGATATTCTTCTTGGATAACTTCTTTGTGGCATTCTTCTTATAACTTCTTCTTCTTATATTCTTCTTGGATAACTTCTTGTAGCATTCTTCTTTACATCTCTTCTTCTGATATTCTTCTTGGATAACTTTTGTGGCATTCTTCTTACATCTCCTTTTCTGATATTCTTCTTGGATTACTTCTTGTGGCATTCTTCTTACATCTCCTTTTCTTTATTCTTTTAACTTCTTGTGGCATTCTTCTTACATCTCTTCTTCTGATATTCTTCTTGGATAATTCTTGTATTTCTTCTTACATCTCCTTTCTGATATTCTTCTTGGATAACTTCTTGTGGCATTCTTCTTACATCTCCCTTTTCTGATATTCTTCTTGGATAACTTCTTGTGGCATTCTTCTTTACATCTCCTCTTCTTGATATTCTTCTTGGATAACTTCTTGTGGCATTCTTCTTACATCTCCTTTTCTGATATTCTTCTTGGATAACTTCTCTTGTGGTATTCTTCCATTCTTCTTGTGGCATTCTTCTTTTCTGATTCTTCTTAGATAACTTCTTGTGGCATTCTTCTTACATCTCCTTTCTGATATTCTTCTTGGATAACTTTTTGTGGCATTCTTCTTACATCTCCTTTTCTGATATTCTTCTTGGATAACTTCTTGTGGCATTCTTCTTACATCTCCTTTTCTGTATTCTTCTTGGATAACTTCTTGTTCTTCTATCTCTTCTTATATCTCTTTTCATTCTTCTTCTTCTGGTATTCTTCTTGGATAACTTTCTGTATCTCTTTCTTAATCTCTTTTTCTGATATTCTTCTTGGATAACTTCTTGTGGCATTTTCTTACATCTCCTTTTCTGATATTCTTCTTGGATTACTTCTTGTTGGCATTCTTCTTACATCTCCTTTTCTTATCCTTCTTCTTGGATAACTTTTGTGGCATTCTTCTTATAACTTTCCTTTCTTCTTATATCTCTTCTTCTTCTTCTTAATATCTTCTTGGCATTCTTCTTTACATTCTTCTTCTTCTTCTGATATTCTTCTTGGATAACTTCTTGTTCTTCTGCATTCTTCTTATCTCTATCTTCATATTCTTCTTGGATAACTTCTTGATTCTTCTTATATCTCTTTTCTAATTCTTCTTGGATAATTTCATTGTCTTTTCTTTACATCTCCTTTTCTGATATTCTTCTTGGATAACTTCTTGTGGCATTCTTCTTATCTCTCCTTTCCTGATATTCTTCTTGGATAACTTCTTGATATCTCCTTTTCTTATATCCTTCTTGGATAACTTCTTGTAGCATTCTTCTTGTCTCTTCTTCTGATATTCTTCTTGGATAACTTCTTGTGGCATTCTTCTTACATCTCCTCAACTTCTGATATTCTTCTTGGATAACTTCTTGTGGCATTCTTCTTACATCTCCTTTGATATTCTTCTTGGATAACTTCTTGTGGCATTCTTCTTCTCCTTTTCTGATATCCTTCTTGGATAACTTCTTGGCTCTTCTTATCTCTTCTTCTGTTTCTTCTTGGATTTCTTAAATTCTTCTTTACTGATTTTTCTTCTTGGATAACTTCTTGTTGGCATTCTTCTTACATCTCTTCTGATATTCTTCTTGGATAACTTCTTGTGGCATTCTTCTTACATCTCTTTTTCTGATATTCTTCTTGGATAACTTCTTTTCTTTTATTCTTTCTTATCATCTCCTTTTCTTTCTGATATTCTTCTGATATTCTTCTTGGATAACTTCTTGTGGCATTCTTCTTACATATCCTTTCTGGTATTCTTCTTGGATAATTTCTTGTGGCATTCTTCTTACATCTCCTTTTCTGATATTCTTCTTGGATAACTTCTTGTGGCATTCTTCTTCCACATCTCCTTTTCTTATATTCTTCTTGGATAAATTCTTGTGGCATTCTTCTTACATCTCTTCTTCTGATATTCTTCTTGGATAACTTCTTGCAGCATTCTTCATTCTTCTTACTTCTCTTCTTCATTCTTCTGAAATCTCCTTGGATAATTTTTTGTTCCATGGCATTCTTCTTACATCTCCTTTTCTGATATTCTTCTTGGATAACTTCTTGTGGCATTCTTCTTACATCTCTTCTTCTGATATTCTTCTTGGATAACTTCTTGGGGCATTCTTCTTTATATCTCCTTTTCTGATATTCTTCTTGGATAACTTCTTGTGTCATTCTTCTTACATCTCCTTTTCTTTATATCCTTCTTGGAAACTTCTTGCAACATTCTTCTTACATTCTTCTTCTGATATTCTTCTTGGATAGCTTCTTTCATTCTTCTGATTTACATCTCCTCTTTCTGATATTCTTCTTGGATAACTTCTTGTGGCTTCTTTCTTACATCTCCTTTTCTGATATTCTTCTTGGATAACTTCTTGTGGCATTCTTCTTACATCTCCTTTTCTGATATTCTTCTTGGATAACTTCTTGTATTCTTCTTATATCTTCTTCTGATATTCTTCTTGGATAACTTCTTGTGGCATTCTTCTTACATATCTTCTTCTGGTATTCTTCTTGGATAACTTCTTGTGGCATTCTTCTACATCTCCTTTTTCTGATATTCTTCTTGGATATCTTCTTCTAGCATTCTTCTTACATCTTCTTTTTTCTGATATTCTTCTTGGATAACTTCTTGTGGCATTCTTCTCTACATCTCCTTTTCTGATATTCTTCTTGGATAATTCTTGTGGCATTCTTCTTATATCTCATTTTCTGATATTCTTCTTGGATAACTTCTTGTGGCATTCTTCTTAATCTCCTTTTCTTATATCCTTCTTGGATAACTTCTTGTATTCTTCTTCTTAGCATTCTTTTACATCTTTTTCTGATATTCTTCTTGGATTCTTCTTGGCATTCTTCTTACATCCTTTTCTGATATTCTTCTTGGATAACGTCTTTGGCATTCTTCTTATCTCCTTTTCTTATATTCTTCTTGGATAACTTCTTGTGGCATTCTTCTTTCTTCTTGGATATCCTTCATTCTTCCATCTCCTTTTCTGATATTCTTCTTGGATAACTTCTTGTGCATTCTTCTTACATCTCCCTTTTCTGATATTCTTCTTGGATAACTTCTTGTGGCATTCTTCTTACATCTCCTTTTCTGATATTCTTCTTGGATAACTTCTTGTGGCATTCTTCTTATCTCTCCTTTTCTGATATTCTTCTTGGATAACTTCTTGTGGCATTCTTCTTACATCTCCTTCTTCTGATATTCTTCTTGGATAACTTCTTGTGGCATTCTTCTTGTCTCTTTTCTGATATTCTTCTTGGATAACTTCTTGTGGCATTCTTCTTACATCTCTTCTTATATTCTTCTTGGATAAATTCTTGTAGGATTCTTCTTAAATCTCCTTTTCGATATTCTTCTTGGATAACTTGTAGCGTTCTTTTACATCTCTTTTCTGATATTCTTTCTTGGATAATTTTTGTGGCTCTTACTCTCCTTTCTGTCCTTCTTGGATAACTTCTTGTAGCCTTCTTCTTACATATCTTCTTCTGATATTCTTCTTGGATAACTTCTTGGCATTCCTTCTTACATTCCTTTTCTGATATTCTTCTTGGATAACTTCTTGTGGCATTCTTTCTTACATCTCCTTTTCGATATTCTTCTTTGATAACTTCTTGTGGCATTCTTCCACATCTCCTTTTCTTATATTCTTCTTGGATAACTTCTTGTATCTCCTTCTTGGATCTCTTTTCTGATATCTTCTTGGATAACTTGTTTGGCATTCTTCTTTACATCTCCTTTTCTGATATTCTTCTTGGATAACTTCTTGTAGCATTCTTCTTACATCCTTTTCTGATATTCTTCTTGGATAACTTCTTGTGGCATTCTTCTTTCTACATCTTCTTCTTCTGGTATTCTTCTTGGATAACTTCAGGCATTCTTCTTACATATCTCTTCTGGTATTCTTCTTTGGATAATTTCTTGTGACATTCTTCTTACATCTCCTTTCTTCTCTTCTTCTTGGATAACTTCTTGTGGCATTCTTCTTACATCTCTTTTTTTGATATTCTATCCTTCTTGGATAAATTCTTCTAGATTCTTCTTACTTCTCCTTTTCTGATATTCTTCTTTGGATAACTTTTGTGGCATTCTTCTTACATCTCTTTTCTGATATTCTTCTTGGATAACTTCTTGTGGCATTCTTCTTACATCTCCTTTTTCTGATATTCTTCTTGGATAACTTCTTGTAGCATTCTTCTTACATCTCCTTTTCTGATATTCTTCTTGGATAAATTTTTGTAGCATTCTTTTATTCTTCTTTCTTATATTCTCTTGGATTTTTGATATTCTTCTCTTGATAACTCCTTGGAACTTGATATTCTTCTTACATATCTTCTTCTGTATTCTTCTTGGATAACTTCTTGGCTTTTACATCTCCTTTTCTGATATTCTTCTTGGATAACTTCTTGTGGCATTCTTCTTACATCTCTTCTTCTGATATTCTTCTTGGATAACTTCTTGTGGCATTCTTATTACATCTCCTTTTCTGATATTCTTCTTGGATAACTTCTTGTGGCATTCTTCTTACATCTCCTTTTCTTATATTCTTGGATAACTTCTTGTAACATTTTCTTATCTGATATTCTGATATTTTCTTGGATAATTCTTGTGGCATTCTTCTTACATCTCCTCCCCTTTCTGATATTCTTCTTGGATAACTTCTTTTGTGGCATTCTTCTTACATCTCCTTTTCTGATATTCTTCTTGGATAACTTCTTGTGGCATTCTTCTTACATCTCTTTTCTGATATTCTTCTTGGATAACTTCTTGTATTCTTCTTACATCTCCTTTTTCTGATATTCTTCTTGGTTAACTTCTTACCTTCTTCTTTTTATCTATCTTCTGATATTCTTCTTGGATAACTTCTTGTGGCATTCTTCTTACATCTCCTTTTTCTGATATTCTTCTTGGATAACTTCTTGTAGCCTTCTTCTTACATCTCCTTTCTGATATTCTTCTTGGATAACTTTTTGTTGGCATTCTTCTTACATCTCCTTTTCTGATATTCTTCTGATAACTTCTTGTGGCATTCTTCATATCCTTCTTCTTATATTCTTCTTGGATAAATTCTTCTTGGATAACTTCTTATATATCCTTCTTGATATTCTTCTTGATAACTTTTGTGCATTCTTCTTACATCTCTTCTTCTGGTATTCTTCTTGGATAACTTCATTAGCATTCTTCTTAAATCTCCTTTCTGATA